CAGCGCTCCTCAGAATTCTGGTGGGGGAAGCCGCGAGAGTGCCTGACGGACCCGTTGCATGCAGTCACTAATCACACCACTAGGTGGCTCCAAACAAACGCACTGATCAAAAATCTCACAAACACATCCAACCCTACAATCATTTTGATCAAAACTCACAGACACACACAAGCTTTTATCTCTGTTACATATATAAATATTTAACCATGTACAGTGTTTAATATAATTATTAATTATTGCATAGATGCTTGCAAGAAACGGCCACAAACCTTATGTCTTTGGTCCACAATGGCAGCTTTAATTTTAGCATCTCCTCTCCTCCACATACTTCGTTGCCAGATGTGTAAAATTTACAAAAAGATGCAATTTACAATAGTTTTTACAGAACTCTACACAACATCAATTCATTTATTAATAGATGCTGTTATTACGCAGTATTCAGCCACGCCCCTAACACCTCCCAAACTCCAGCGGACTGACTACTGACCAGCTCTCCGACTAACGGGTCCGAAAAGCCTCTAATTCCTGAGTATTACCACAGATACAAATGTAGAGGACATTTTGTTTAAGCTGGGCGCGAGAAAGATGCGTCTAGACTCTAACTACCTTCAGATCCAGACGTTATGACCCGCTTCAGTTCATGAATCAGACATAGGAGTAGACCGCCGATGCCCGACAGCATAAACCACACCTGTTCAAGGCAGCTCTTTCTCTATTAATAACGTGCACTTGTTACAGCTTAGATTATTTTAGAGACTCGGACTGAGTACCAGGGTCATTATTTATCATAACCAAAGAAACGTCTGAAGCCCCCCTAATTTACTAGGATCATGAATATTGACTTTACATTAACCAGAAGATTTAGTTTTTTAGCTGACTTAATTAATTTAACTGTCCACAGCATCACTTTAGACTTTAATATTTTATTAGCAAGGCAATTTTGCAAGGGTCGGTACAGCTTAAATCAGTAGCAGAAATAATCAAATAAGTAAAATCAATAATCTAATCTATCTTTAATGCTGACACTGTGAACTAACAAAGGGAAACTTTGAGAGAGATGGACGGAGGTTGGCATCTTGAACCCCAGAACTGGCCTGATGGTGGAAAAGCAGCAGCAGGAGGCTCCCAGTACAGGAAGAGTACTGACTTAGAGCGGCAGGTCTCGGGCCTCAGGGTGACTTCCTCATGCGCGTAGCGGTCCTCAGCTTCTTGTCTTGCAGCTCCTTTCTCCTCGCCTCACGATCTTTCTGGTCCTTCGAGACGTAGACGAGCTGGTCTCACGGAAGGAACACACCAGTTCTTCCTCTTTGCCTTTTAGTTATAGGATAGATACACAAAGATTTCATTTCTAACACAGCAGCTTGCAGTAATGAGTGTTTATCCAAGAAGTGTGACTTGGCTCTGTACTGGTTTCTCCTTTTAAATCAAGAGGCCATGATAGTTTGACTAGGCAGCAGATGTCCCACAGCTGATTGACTGAACCTGCCATGGACAGAGGAACAAGACCATCTCAGATATGGTAGGTTGTTAGGTAGGCTACTGTTGAGACAGATGGACAACAAAACAAATGGAGAAATTATGAATCACATCAGAATATGTAAATTATTTGGCAGATAGCGCTTAAATCAATATTTAAAATGCTTTTCTAAACAACAGTGTTGGAAGATGTCAGTGATTTTAGTGAAACTTTTAACAATACAGCACTGACAGGCAGCGGTGTTTATGTTTTATTATTTATTTCAAAAACTTACCATATTACCTCCCATCTGTGTTTTACTTCCTGAAAAGAAAAGATTGACTATTTTTCACTAAAAAACTGCAAGTTTGTAAAATCTTAAGGTTGAATGTTTTCACCTTTGATCTTTGTCCAGATGTTGACGGCCACAACAGCTGCTAGGAGAGCAGCTAAACCCAAAAACACAACGAGGAACCTCAGTTTCAATCCACCTGATAACAGAAGGAAATTAGATAAATAAGTACTTCATTATGAAAATCAAAATCAGTGACACTAAAATCTCAGAACATTCTCTATTTTATTAATCATTAAAACATTTTCTAGGTCAGAATGTTCAGGTTTTAATGCAGTAAAATTACAGAAACCAGTTTTGTGTCTGAATAACTTTTCTGTAGATTTAACTAATATAAATCTACAGACAGTTTAAAAAATGTTTTGGAGAAAAAAATTACAAGGAAAATATTAAATTTCAGAAACATTTAAATAACACATTAAGATCTTCTTTACCATTAGAGTTTGATGAATCACTTCCTGTTTTGCGTTTGATTGAGATTGTGATTGTAGACTGTGCTGCTGCCATGTTTGTTGTTGTTGTTGTAGTTGCTGCTGGAAGTGCCTTAGTTGTTGTTATAGTTGTTTTCCAAGTTGTTGAGAATGTTGTCATCACTTTAGTTGCTTGCATTGTACCTAAAAAAATAAAAAAAAATATTTCACAACCAAAACATTTCCAAGTTAAACTGATTTACCAACTAGAGTCACAGATTATTCTTGTTGAAACCTTGTTTCTCTGAGCATTTTCTACATTAGCAAACTGTCATTAAAGTACAGTTACATATTCATCTTTTTTATCAACAGACAGAAAGTAGTTCATCATTTTCTCACCTGTTTTTTCTCTCTGAGGTGAAATCCTGAAGCTAAACTCCTTCATGTCTCCTCGAGTTTTAACTTGACATCTGAATAACTCAGAACGTTTTGATGTGGAAACATGAGGAGAAGTTGTGAAGCTCACAGTGGCTGAACAGGCAGACTGAGGAGGAGTTATGGTTTTGATATTTACATCATCTTTGTTATCATACAGCCACTTCACTGAGTGAGAACATCCACCAAATGATGATACAGAGCAGATCAGGATGGTTTCATCACTGATCTTCTGTTCAATCACTGAGGAAGAGGAAGATATTGATACAGTAACAACATTAATGCTGACTTCATCACATCAGTTGTAGTCATTGTATTGTATCAGTATCTGTTGTAAAAAGTATCATAAAATGAAAACATAATGATATAAATACTCACTGTTAACAACAGACAGATCAACCGCAGATTCTGCTACTTGATGTCCTGATGAGTTAAACTGTCTGCAGACATAAAGACCAACATCCTCCACTGAGATCTTCTTTATAACCAGTGAACAGTCTGATGTAACACTCAGTCTGTCTGATTTAGGTCTGGCATCTTTATGGATCTTCCCACGTTCAAACAGTGGTTCTGCTCTTTTATTACTTTGAGCACTGAATATCCAGTCAGTTTTATCACAAGTTTCCATCTGGTTTCTAAAACATTCAGCAGGCAGAGAGACTTCATCTCCATCTCTGACAACAAAGTCAGACCAGATTATATCTGCTGCTGCTGAGGAGATGAAAGTAAATCAGGTACAGCTTCAGTTAATGTTACAATAATGGACATAAAGTGATTAATATTCACCTTAAAAAGATATAGTCACAACTTTGCACACATTGATTTTTATAAAATCAGTTGACCTACACAAACAGTTCATTTACTGCAACAATATTCTTACCTGTAAAGTTTAGCATAAAGAAGAAAAACATTATAATCCATCTGAGTTCGGCCATCGTGTGTCTCTTGTTCTCAGTCTTCTAGTTGTGTGACTGACTGGTAGAGATGCAGCATCTACTTCCTCTGAACCGCATGATGTCACTTCCTCAAACTGACGGACGGTATTTTTCTATGTCCAAAGTATCTAATCTAGTTTGGACATGGTGTAGAGGTAATCCATCTTGTCAGGATTCAGTAGCAGCTGAATCCTGTCATGTTATGTTTTAAAAGAAACAGCTTTTAAAATCAACATCTCGCCTTTTTAAACAGGAAAATATTTGATCAGTAAATGTTCAGAGAAAAGCAGCAGGATGAGATCATCATGGTTTCTGACAGAGAGGTGTTGAAGAGAGGAAGATGATGAAGGTGTGAAGACTTTAAATATAAATATGGGAATTTCCAGTTGTTCTATATTTGACACAGTTAATACAGTTAGCTGATCTCAGACCTTTCAATTCTTCATGGCTCTACTGAAGGGTTTATTTCTAATAGCTAAAGAGGAAGTTTTCTGTGAGAATGTGGCTAAAGAGCTCTGAAGGATTAAAGTGTTAGTGATGAGCAGATAAAAGATGGCTAAAACACTGATGAGAGCATGTGAAGCATTTAGCCTCTTAATAACTGAAATAAAGAATATGGACTTAAAACTAGAGCTTAATAAATTGTAAAGTTACACAAAAAGTCTCCAAATTGGTAAAATCAGGAGTTTTTTTTTTTTCCATTTCAGCTTCATCACACCTGAATCAAATTATCACAGATTCTCTGAAGAATTTAACTTCCTGCAGAGGAAATCATTTAATCATCTGAATCATAGATGTTGTCTGCAACAACAAGAACAGGAGCATCAGTCCAATCACATGTTGCTATAATTCATTTTTAACCACAATCATGTTTTACGCTTTGAAAAACACATTATTAGTAATAGGTTATGCTCAAATATAACCAATAATCATGCTCCAAAACCTCCATCTAAAAACGTCTGCAAAGCAAATAGAACTTATAGCACCCTCTACTGGAGACAACCAGTAAATCTTCAGCGTAAGAATAAAAAAAAAAGAAAAGAGGTTTTACTGCCAAGAGGTTTTGTATGGAGGCTCTCCATAGTTTTGTGGTTAAATGAAGGATACATACATAATGAGCAACTTTGCTCTTGTTATAAGTTAGATTTTACAAATGGAGGAAATTTAAGATAAAGTGAAATTGAAATGCTACAACTTAAACTAATTGTTGCTATGTCAAAAGAAACTATGGAAAAAAAAAACACATTAACTGTTCTGGAAAGTATATAATTAAGTCAAAAAGCATTTTTCTTTTTCTTCTTACTTATTTTAAATAAATATGATGAAGGTAAGTAACTCAAAACTCTCCCTGAGCCTGACATTAATAACTGTTTACTACTGTCATGTTGTGTGGTAATAGTGCAGACCCAAAAGCAGCGCCCTCTTGTTTTGCAATGCGTCAAACTGTGCCACATCAAATGTCTTCCCCACCCAGCTTCTGCTGCTCCAGTCAGGTGATCTCAGCACGCGGCCGTGGAGCGAATCTGTAAATACCTGGTAAATGTAACGAACTCAACAGAACCACCTGGACCGCCCAGCTGGAAATGAAGAGCAGCAACTGGAAAAACTCGTTCCATAAATCTGGGCAACCAACACACACAGCCCCCGTAGTGCTTACTGTGGCCTCAGACTACGACCCTCACCAGTTTGCATATCATGCAAACAAATCCACAGAGGACTCCATTGCTGTAGCTCTCCACTCAAAACTGAACCACCTGGAGCAGCAGCAGAGAAATGTACCGATGCTTTTTGTTGGCAACAGTTCAGCCTTCAACACAATAATCAGACTCATCTCTAAACTGATCACTCCTCCTCCTCCTCCTCCTCAGTTAAAGGACTTCCTCACCAACCGACCCCAGACTGTGAGACTTCGTCCTCATCTCTTCTCTACCTGCACACTGAGCATCGACTTCCCTCAGCGCTGTGTGCTGAGCCCCTCTTGTATTTCCTCTACACCCAAACTACAGTCCAGTCCACAACAACAAACGCATTGTCACGTTTGCTGATGACACTACAGTGGTCAGACTCATCTCACAGGGTGATGAGGCAGCTCACAGAGAGGAAGTCCTGAAGCTGGCAGCCTGGTGTTCAGAGAACAACGTCACTCTGACCACCAAAAAAAAAAAAAAAAGGTCATCCTGAACTTCAGGAAGCTCAGCACTGACCCAGCTCCTCTCTACATTAATGATAAAAGTGCTGAGAAGGTTCATACCTTCAGGTTTCATCTCTGCTGGCCTCTCCTGGACTGACAGCATCACTGCAGTCATCCAGAAGGCTCAGCAGCGCCAACACTTTCTGGAGTCCTCAGGAAGCACAAGTTCAACTCCAAGCTGCTGCTGACCTTCTACTGGTCAGCCACACAGAGCCTGCTGACCGACTGCATCACAGTACGAACAGCAGCTGTACTGTTACAGACAAGATGAGGCTCCAGAGGGTCATGAAGGCAGCTCAGAGGATCATTGGCTGTCCTCTTCCCTCTCTGGTGGACATTTACACCTTACAGGTGTGTAGCTGATCTCAGATCCTTTATCTTTTCATGGTTCCTCTGAACAGTTTATTTCTGAGAACTAAGAGGAAACTTTCTGTGAAAATGTAATTATAAAGCTCTTATTTTTCCATGAATAAAAGTCGACTGTCGTCTTTCCACATCATCTCCTCTGTTGCAAATGTGACTTGATGGAATGACAAGAGTTTTCTGAAGCACAAACCAGATTTGTTACATTTTAGTTTCAAAGTTATGATTGTTCCTGATTTTACTGAAATGATTTAAAGCTTTTCATGAAGCTGATATTTTGGTTTTTGTTATTCTTCAAATCTATCAGAAGCAGAAGAATCAAAGTTCATCAGCAGCCATGACATTTTCATAGTTCACTGAATCATCCTCTTCATCACTGCATACCTGCAAAAAAGCAAAAATAATTTATGAGTCTAACTCCAGAAATTTTCCATTTGACTCTTTAGACTCTATTCTGACGTCCTGAAAGATCAGAATAATATTCAGAAACCATAAAAATGTCTGACTTGAAAATGCTGGACTGGATTTCTCTTGCGTCTTAAAAACATTTCACCTCTGACCCAAAAGGCTTTTAATTTCTTAATGTCAGTGACCCAGATGACCTTAACAGCCTTATGAGCCTGATTGTTCTATTATTTAGGAAGCAGCTGAAATGAGGTTCCTCTTAAACGATGGACAGTCTCTGCTTCATCATCCCGATGGAGCTCCTAGCAGAGCCTAGGAGTCAGAGATGGTTCAAGCATCTGGTCAGGATGTCATCCAGATGTTTTCCTTTGGAGGTTTTCCATCCATGTCTCACTTTAAGAAGACCCCAGTCAGACCAGAGGGACGATCTCATAGTAAAACCTAACAGACCTTGAAAAGCAGCTGGAGTTCTGCTTGGGGAAGGATGTGAGTTTCTCTCCTGAACCTTTTACCAGCTTCACCTGATCTTGTCTCAGTAAATAAAAACAATGTTTTGACTCATTAGAGAAAAACAAACTTACACTGTTTTCTTCCATTTGTGTTTTTCTTCCTGAAAAGACAAGAGATATTTTCCCCATTAAGAACATGCAAGTTTTTAAAATCATAAATTTTAAGTCTGAATGCTTAAAATTCAGACCTTTGATCCTTGTCCAGACGTTGACGACCACAACAGCTGCTAGTAGAGCAGCTAAACACAAAAACACAGTGAGGAACCTCAGTTTCAATCCACCTGATAACAGAAGGAAATTAGATAAATAATTATATTTCCAAACATAAAGTTATGAGGAAAGTAAACATGAATGTGGGCTGGCTACTCTTCCCTCAGCTTCTACCTTAGATCTTCACCAGAGGGCAGAGAGCTGGATGAAGAGGTTTGATTTCTGAAGTCATGTCTGAACTCATTAAGCTGCTGGTTATTGATGCCTGAGTGTTAGCCATGTGCTAAATCCTCTCTAAAGCTCTCTTTGTTCTTGTCTTGACTCATTTCTCCTCATCTTCCCTTAAAAGTTTGTTTTCTCTCAGTCCAGAGAACCTGGACGTCCCTCTGAAAAATCTAACCTGCAAGGAACCTCTGGATCACCATCATGACAGGTAACACACTTACCAACACTGCTGTATGCACCCCTCCCTGATATCTACGTTTTCAATCGTCATGCCAATTTTGAGCAAACTTTTAAAATGTTGCAAAAAAGAAAAAGTAAGTTATGAATGTTTCTATCTACCGGTTTGAAGCGAATCAACCAAACCACGCAAAGCGTAATTTCTACAAGATGTAGAAAAAT